GGCTGAGGCCAGCCTGATTAACGTAGTGAGTTCCAGGACAGCCAGAACTCCACAGAGAGACCCTGACTCAAAAAACTACTAATGGTGATGGTGTCTTTTTTTTTCAAGATTTTATTTATTTATTATGTATACAACATTCTGCCTCCATGTATGCCTGCGCATCAGAAGAGGGCACCAGATCTCATTACAGATGGTTGTGAGCCACCATGTGGTTGCTGGGAATTGAACTCAGGACCTCTGGAAGAGCAGCCGGTGCTCTTAACATCTGAGCCATCTTTCCAGTCCTGGTGTCATCTTTTTATTAATATTCTCTATTTAATGAAATGTTATCATCTTTTACTGATTTAAATCTTTTTTAAAAAAGATGTTTTGAGGGGCTGGAGAGATGGCTCAATGGTTTAGGTCAGTGGCTGCTCTTCCAGAGGTCCTGAGTTCAATTCCTAGCCCTCACAAGATGGCTCACAACTGTCTATGATGGGATTAGATGTCCCCTTCTGGTGTGCATGCAGACAAAGCACCCATGTATATAAAATACATAAATTTTTTCAAAAAGATTTTTTTTTTTTTGAGCCAGAACCTTGCTGTGTAGCCCAGGGTTTCAAACTCTTGATACTCCTGCTTTAGCCTTTTGAGTGCTGGGACTAAAAGGGCTGCATCACCATAAAGTCTTTCAGTATGATTTACTTTGGATAATTGAATAGCTGCTTTTAGTCCCATCCAGACTCCTCCAGAGACAGTTCATGTTGCCTGGTTTTCTTGCTTTTTTTGTTTCTTCTGTGTGGGTCAAATTTTCCTGTTTCTTTGCCCATCTCATAATTTTCAGAAAACTGCACATTTTAGGTAATATAGCAACTCCTGTCATGGTGTCGTCACTGTTTAGTGATCTGGCTGGACCAGGTCAGTAGATTATATGTCTGCTTTTGCTGAGTTGTCAGCAGGCACAGCCTTGTCATGGCCAGGCCTCTTTCCAGTAAGAGGCTTTCTCTAGACCCAAGGAGGCTCTTCTTTGTTTGTCTGGTTCTGTTAAACATCTGGCTGGTCAACTGTTTTGTTTGTTGCCACTTGTATTATTGAACCTGGCTAGTTTTATATCAACTTGATTCAAAGCTGAAGCCCTTTTGGAAGAGGAGACCTCAACTGAGAAAATGTCTCCACCATCTTGTCCAATGGGTCCTAATAGGCAGTGGAGCATTTTCTTGATGTATTATTGATGTGGAAGGGCCCAACGTGCCATGGGCAGTGGTGGGCCTGGGTACTATAAGAAAGCAGGCTGGGAAGCTGGAAATGGCTCAGGAGGTAAGAGAAAGCACTGCTCTTGGAGAAGACCTGACTCTGGTTCCCAGTATCCACATCTAGTCACTAACAACTGCCTGTAACTTCAGCTGCAAGAGATCCAATACCTCTGAGGTACTGTACTTATATCCACAAACCCATACATATATACATATAAAAATAAAATATAAAAAAAGAAGGAAGAGAGGAAGGAAAAGAGGGTGGGAGGGAGAAAAAACAAGGAAGCAAGCAAGCAGGCTGAGCAAGCCATAAGAAACAACCCAGAAAGCAGTTTCTGCTTAAGTTCCTGCCTTGAGTTCCTGCCCTGACTTTCCCGGATGACAGATTAAAGGCTGTTAGATGAAATAAACTCTTTATTCTCCTTGTTATTTTTGGTCACAGTGTTTATCACAGCAGTAGAAACTATAAACAATTCCTCTAAAGTGGCTATCCCAAAGATCTCCATTGTTTCCTACAAAGTCGTTAGGCATGAGTCCTTCATACTATCTCCCAAATACAGTCAGTACCTTAGGCAGTCGACCAGAACTTTCAGCAAAATTCCTGCCTGCCATGGAATGAGAACAGTGGACCATCTTCTGTGTAGTGACATTCCTGATATACAAGTAGAATGTTCTGATGTAGTCCTTGGTCTTCACAGCATGACCCTCACAGCCATAACACATTTTGGTGCTTCATAATCTTCCTTCTCCTCTTTCTCTTTCTCCCTTTCTCCTCTTTCTCTTTCTCCCTTTCTCCTCTTTCTCTTTCTCTTTCTCTTTCTCCTTTCTTTCTTTCTCTTTCTCTTTCTCTTTCTCTTTCTCCTCTCTTTCTCTTCCTCTTTCAAGACAGGGTCTCACTATGTAGCCTAGGCTTTTTTTTTTTTCCGTGGTGGTGGGGCAGTTGAGACAGGGTTTCTCTGTGTAACAGCCCTGGCTGTCAGGAACTCACTGTGTAGACCAGACTGGCCTCAAAGTCACAGAGATCTACCTGCCTTTAATCCCAAGTGGTGGGATTAAAGGCATGTGCCACCACCAACCTGCTTAGATTACCACCTTCTTAAAACATGTTAATAGTAATTTTTTTTTTTAGTTTGCATCACAGTGAATCAAAATAGTGCTTGTCAAATTGGCAACTGGAAACCCATCACCTGGAGAGCTTGTTAGAGTTCAGACTGACAAGATGGGTCTGGGGTTGCCCAGGTCTGCATTTCTAACCAGTCTGGCAATGGTACCAGTGCCAGACACATAAGGATTCCAAAGGCAATCCTTGGTAAGGAGGGTTCAACACCACATGTTGATCCATGACATGATAGCTTTTCATTTGGAAGTACCAAGGAGTAGCTTGCCTCCCCAGATTGTGAGGGATGTGATGTACTTCGTACCAACCTCAAAACTGTATGTACCCAAGGATGAATTAAAATTCCAATTCCTCCTGTGTCTACCTCTCAAGTGCTAGAATTATATATGTACTTACTGTCACTGAGCTAAGTGCTTAAAATGGTTAAAATTTTGTTATGTGTACTTTACAACACAGGAAGGCAGGAAAGTGAATTGAGACTGATGAAATCAAAGTGTATATAAATATATAATCTCACACACACAAAGAAACTAAACAAGAGAAGGCATAGTCCTTAGTGAAGGAAAGAAAGAAAATAAAGAAGGGAAAGAAGGAACAAAAAGTCTAGTCTCTAGCATTTCTGAACTAGATTTAAAAAAAAACACACTTGCTAGAAAAACACAGCATCTTGAGACTGTCATCCTCAGTTTGTGAACTGTTTTTGAGATGTGGGAATGGAGCAGGAGCTCCCAGAATTTCATGGACTGATGGGTTCTTTCCCACAGGACAGGGCCAAAGCCCATACCTTGAACACTAAGTTACGGAAGCAGCTGACAGAGTTCCGGGCTCCCCAGGTGATGATGTATGTCAAGGAGAAGATCTTGAATGGGGAGCTGGAGAAGGCCATCAAAATGTGGGAGAGGAAGGTGGAGATTGCAGAGGTGAGCCTCTTGTCCCCAGGAAGACAGAGCAGGATCACCAAGCATCTCAAGCCATCAACATGTTTCTTCAGGATTTGTTTACCGGGCTGAGATAATAGGGATGCTGGACGTTGTGTCCATGAGAAATCTCTGCAGTTGTTTAAACTGTTCAGCCAAAATGAATGAACAGTGGAAAGTTCATTTAGACAGGGTTTCTCTGTGTAGCCCTAGCTGTGCTGGAACTCAACTCTGTAGACTAGGCTGGCCTTGAACTCACAGAGATCTGTCTGTCTCTGTCTCCTAAATGCTGAGATTAAAGACGTATGCCACCACCGTAAGCTCCCACTTTTAATGGTTAAAGACAGTGTGCTTTAAGGTCAGGGAGAGATTCTTGTTACACAAGTGTATTTAGTTGCTTGTTTCCACAATGAATTCTAGAATCTTGTAAATCTTTCCATACCATGGGTATTAAGTAACTGCTGCTTCTTACATAGAGAAGACAGTGTTTAAGAAAATGAGAAACCACACACATGGTGGCACACACCTTTAGTCCCAGTATTTGGAGGCAGAGGCAGGCAGATCTGTGTTTGAGGCCAGGTCTCTATAGTGAGTTCCAAGCTACTCAAAACTACACAGTGAGGCCCTCCATTTCCCTCAAGTAGTCACTTGGTGACAGGGAGGACCTGAGGGCTCTAACTTGGCATATATCATACCTGGAACTGAGCAGAGAATCCAACATGTACCATCTCAATTCTTTGGACAAAAACACACTCTTTTTAAACATTCTTTTGAGATTTTGTTGTTGCTGGGTTTTTTGTTTTTGTTTTAGAGACAGTGTCCCATGTATCCCAGTCTATTCTTCAGCTTAATTAAGCTTAATATATAGGTGAGGATAGCCTTGAACTTCTGATCCCCTTCCCCCACCTCCTAAGTTCACCACCACCCTGATGTATATATGTAGATCAGACACAGGGCTGTTAGCATGCCAGTCATGCACTATACCAATAGAGCTACATCCTCAGCCCTAGAAAGGTTTTTTGGGTATCCATTGCTCTATGATAATGTCTGCCAGTGGGATGCACCACAGGACCCTGGCCCCTCAAGGGGACATCTGCATAGTCAGCAGTTTATAGATGGCAGTGGCCTTCAGCACAGGCACATGCTATTTTTCCCAAGTAACTTTCTTCCATTTCCCCCCCTTTTTGTTTTGTAGATCTCTTTAAAGGGGTACCGAAAAGCCTGGAATAAAATGAAAACATCAGATGAGCAGCTACAGACAGTCCGGCCCCCAGGGAAATAGCCAGGAACAACCCATAGCTTGTAGACTGAGAAATGACCCATTAAAGTACTCTAGTGTTTTCCAGTAGTGGGGTTCTCTCACTGTTTCCTGTGCCCAGCTAGTACACACCGCCCCCCACTACCAGACCACATCTCGATGGTCACCGGCAGGGCCACATCTACCCATGGGAATATCTTCCCAGTCTGGCCCCTGACACCATTAACACTGAAAGAACCACAGGGCACTCTAATGGTTTGACACTTGTTAGCCCACATTTAGTTCACAAGCATAAATGAAAGTGACCTTCCCATATATGGGAGTGGGGCAGAGGAGGGAGAGCCAGCCCGTGCTGCTGTGGGCCTGCCCGTGGCCGCCCAGGTGGCACCTTTCAAGAGCAGACACCAGAACAGTACGGTAGATGCCTAGCACCTTGCACTCTGAACTTCTTGTCTGTGGGGTAGGTTAGCTGCTAGCTAGACACCACTGCCCAAGAAAACAAGCACGAGGGACATCAAGATTATTTCTTGGGGCCAATGCAGCCTGTTCTGGCCAGCCATAGCCCCATCTTCCCCCGCCTCCCCACCGTAGTAGTCGTAGTACATAGGTTGAACAGCCACCTTCGAAGGCCAGCCTGCTTCCTGAAGACCATTTACCCTGAAGTTCTTCCCATCATCTGTTGACATGTCATACAGAGAGGACATTTTTGATCCTTGGGAGTAGGATCGGGGCCATTCAGCATGGCTATGTACAGAATACACGCTCTTTGTCAGGGCAATATTTGATTCGTCAAATTGGAACTCAGGGACCAACTTCTCCCAGGGGTTGAGCGCAGACAGGAAAGGGCCAGCCCTCCTCGTCTTGGCTATGATCCAGTCACTGTAGTCTTCCACATTGGCATACAGTAACAGGCCGGGGCACAAGTCACCTCCATGGGTCAGAATTCCTCTGAGGACCCAGAGATCCAGCTTCTTCACTTGGCACATCAAAGGGCTTCCTGGTTCCCCCTGCAATAAAGGAGAGCAGATCTTGGGTTTGAGAAAACCTTCCTTTTCAATACATTCTTGTGCCATTCAATACATATGGTTGCTGGGAATTGAACTCAGAACCTCTGGAAGAGCAGACAGTGCTCTTAACCTCTGAGCCATCTCTCCAGCCCACATTCTTGTGCCAGTGTCTGTTTTAGAAGGTTTTACGTTGATTCTCTCTGGAAATGGGCAAATTACAGGTTATCATTTCAAATCTAGACAGCCACCACCAACTACAACATGGTAGCACCTCTCTCTCCTCTCTTCCTCTCTGTCTCTCACTGAAAGGTTCAGGCATAATGCTGGCCTGCCTCTGTTACCTAGTGGAACAGGCAGTACCCTGGTCAGCCCAGGGTTCCATGGGAACTAAGTCTGCATACAGGTGCAGAGGACCCCTTTAAAAGACAGATCCCTGCCCATTTACACTCTCTCTACACTCGCTCTCTACTCTCTACTCTCTCTACATTCTCTACTCTTCTCTTCTCTGCTTCTGCTTCTCTGTCTCTTTATGGCGACTGGCCATGGCGGTCAGCCATTTACCCTGTTTCTGTTCTCTCTTAGTCTCCCTACTCTGCCAGGCCTATAATAAACTGGTTAATATGTCTCATCTTGCACCCCTTCCTCTTCTTTATTTTTAATTTAAACAAAAGAATAACATTGGTGCCCAACTCGGTTTAAGCTCTCTCCATAAGCTCTCTCGTAGCTTGCTGGTGGAATAGGCTTTCTCTGCAACCTCTCCTGCCAGGGGCACAGGAAATTTCAGGGATCATAAAATCTGAACTCATAACCCACTTCCATTCCGGTTTTCCCCGACACTTCCTCCTGCCTGCAGCGGCCTGAGATGCCGGAACTCTTTACACTTCAACTTGCCGCTTTTCCAACTAACCATCTTTGGAACCCACTCATTTGCCTGTTCGCTACAATCTGGTAAGATATCCCTTGAATTTCTGGAGGGTTAGGCTTGGGATCCTGCTCCAGGAGTGGTGCTTTTTTGCTTTTTCAGTTTGGACTGCTGGGTCCTTTTCTGTTTCGGGACAGCTGTGTCCCCTTAGGGGCCAGCCCCCTGGCAACTCCCATGGGCCGATGGGCATCCAGAGAGGAGCTTTTTGCCAGTTTTTCCATTTGTCTCACCCATGGGAAATGCATAGAGGAACTTTTCTGGTTGTAGCCAACAGGAGGGTAAACAGACAAAAAAAGCAGCTTATGGTCGCCACCATCTTGGCCATGTGGTCTAACCTGGAGGCTGCCATCTTGGCCATGTGGGCTAACCTGGGGACCGCCATCTTGGCCATGTGACCTACCTGTAGGCACGCCCACTCCAGTGGCCTGTGCCAGCAAACCTGGCTGCCAGATCTTTTTGCTTTTTATTTATTTATTTTTTGTCTGTGATTTCTTCTTTCACTGGCTCTGTTGCTCATGGCTTGTTTACAGAATACTGTGTCTTTCCAGGGCCCTCTGTTTAAATCTACTCTGTCCCTTTAAATCTCCTGTCTGTTTGCTACCATGTAAGGGATCAGAGATTGCATTCTGGTTCCTCCTTTTACTGTTATCCAGTCCTGCTTGTCTCTGTACCTGTAATTTAACTTCATACCTATCTAACTATATACAACTTATATTAAACTGTGCTAAGTCTCATATTTATAAATTGCTATGTATCTTTAAATGATGGTGAACATTTAAAGTCATAAAGGTCTAATTTAACTATATTTAAAATATAAGTTAAGTCTATACAACTTAAATTTAACTCATGTATCTTTAAATGATGAAAGTTTAAAATCACAAAGGTCTATTTCAAATTAACAAAATATTTATACCACTCAGTCCATCCTGTAAGCCATTTACAAAGGTACAGCTTTTTTTATTACCAAAAGGGATTTTTCTCTAACTAAAGGCAGATTTTTAACTGCTGAGATACTAAACAGACAGTCCTCAAGTGCTCAGAGATCTAGAGAACATGGCATTTAAAATGTTTTGTTAAAAAGTTTTTCATAACAGAGCGACAGGCCAGCTGCTGGCCCCACCCCATTTCCTCCAAGAAGACTGATGGGCACTAAAGAAACTTCATCTCGAGTCAGTGACAACGCTAGTCACTGAGCAACCCTGCTCTTCACCTCAACTGCTACAAAGTACTCCAGACCTTGCACAAGAGGACAGTGGAATCGACTTTCCCCGGGTTGCTTGGGCCAATGGTAGGGAGCCTTCCTGTAGTCTGTAATCCACAGGTCACATGCTATCAGCAGGAAGGCAGGTGTCCTGCAGCCCGCTACTATGGATGGAGGACCTTGGGAGTAGCTGTCCATATAGCCTTCTGGCAAGTCTCTGTCATTCTTTAGTCATTAATTCAGGTAAAATCTTATCCTTCTCAAGAACTCTGATTCTTTTGACGACTGGTAGTCTTGCCAGCTTAAAGCAAAACAGATTTCAGGAACAGGTATTTTAGGGTTTATCTATGTGAAGATAGTAAAGTGTAAGGTGTAGGAAGGTCTGGGAATGTAGTTATGAAGTTCTGAGGATGGAAAGGTCTAACACGGTGGATAAATGCAAGTTATGAAGGTCTGAGAATTGAAGGCATAAAGGTCTTTGGAAGGTCTAAGATGGTAATATAAGATGTATGAATTAAAGTTATGAAGGTCTGAGGATAAAAAGGCTTAAGTGATGATAAAGTGAGTTGAGACATTAAAAAGAATGAAATATGTTCCTGATTTCTCTATTTCTCATGCTACTGTTCATAGTAAAGTTCTACAATACCATGAGGTATTGTACAATACCTCATAACTACGAGGTCAAGATTAAGATGCTTTTTATTGTCTTAAAAAATATGTCAATTTTAAACTGTTAATGCTTTCAGCCAAATTGCTTCTAATTTGCTTCTAATTGCTTCTAACAAAATATGCTGCTAATATGTCTAATACTTATGTTTCCACAAACTCTAAGGATTCTTGTAAGTTCCAGGGAGCTGAATTGGATCTAAACAAACAGGTCAGATTCACTCCAAATAAATATTATTCAGTCTTTTCCTGGTCCCTGGACTCCCTTCCCTCATGTTGGGACTCCTTGGGGAACTCATCTTATAATCTCCCTCATCTTATAATCATCCCCTCAAGTGACAGAACCTAAGGAAAATTTTTTTTCTAAACTTAACCTTGTCCTCTGCTCTGCCAACATCTTGCCAGCCTGGACTGTGATGAAACAACCAGCTAGCCCAGGACTTGGCAGCACCCCAACCTTCTCAGGTCCCCCAAAGAGGGTCAATGCCCCCCATGTCATCAGGAAGCAGTCTTGAGAATTCAATGCCCTTATTCCTTATTCTGCCATGTCCAACACCCCACCATTTAAAAATAATAAGTAAAGGTGGGATTGAAAGGTTCAGGCATTATGCTGGCCTGCCCCTGTTGCCTGGTGGAACAGGTAGTACCCTGGTCAGCCCTGGGTTCCATGGGAACTAAGTCTGCACACAGGTGCAGAGGACCCCTTTAAAAGAGGATCCCTGCCCATTTATGCTCTCTCTACACTTCTCTCTCTCTCTACTCTACTCTCTACACTTCTCTCTCTACACTCTCTACTCTTCTCTTCTTCTCTGTCTGCTTCTGCTTCTCTTCTCTCTCTCTCTCTCTCTCTATGGCGACCGGCCATGGCGGTCAGCCATTTACCCTGTTTCTCTTCTCTCTTAGTCTCCCTACTCTGCCTGGCCTATAATAAACTGGTTAACATGTCTCATCTTGCGCCCCTTCCTCTTCTTTATTTTTAATTTGAACAAAAGAATAACACTCACTCTCCCTTTTTCTTGCTTGTTGGTTTTAGTCGGGATTTCACATAACCTGCTCACTATGCTGCTACAGATGACCTTGAACTCTGAGCCCCATGACTCCACCTCCTCATGCTGGGAGTACAGGCTAGCACAGCTGGTTTACAATGCAGAGCTGGGGATCAAATCCCTGAAGCCAGGCCTGTATTTAAGGCAAGCACCTGCCCGTTAAGCTACTTCCTCATCCCAGTTATTCTTTGTATTATGCAAGTTATTTGTGGCCTTGGCTCCCAGATTGCTTGTAGCTTCCTGGCTCATTTTCCTGTCTTGGCTTTTGCTGGTACTCTGAATCTTTCCTCTAGTTTGGCTGCTCATTCCTCAAATATCAGTTTTGCAGGCTCAGAATCATCAAACCTCTGAAGCCTCCTCTTTTTCCTTCTTCCCAAGGAAGAGCTGTGTGGAGGGGAAGGAAGGTCAGCATTTCCCCAGGAACTCAGACTGTCCTGATTCACAGCTTCCTAACCCATGCTCCAGCTGCTAGTTAGTTACTCCTTCTGCTCACCAACCCTGCCATGTGGTAGCCTCCCCCTTTCCTGAATTAGTAGTCCAGTGGGGCTCAGGTGTTCTGCCACACACACCTTAACTCCTGCAAGGCGAGAGGACAGAGGCTTAGCATACTGAGCTGGATTTGTGACTGGGGCAGGTGGCCTGGTTCTAATGCAATGTGGAGATTCACTAGTGCGTGACACTTGCAGCACTGGTGCTGGGCATGCAGTATGCACTCAGGCAAGTATTAGCTATGGTCATCATGGGGGCTGCTAAAGGCTGTAAGTTTTCTGTATGAAGATGAGGGAAATGGGACAGTCTCAAGATAACTACTAGGTTTCATTTATCACACCCCGGGTCCCCCTTCTGCAAGTGCCAAACCTCCACTCTCATATCATGGTCCATCTGGGTCCGAGATAGGGGAAGGACTATTTACCCTCCTTGACTGTATGGCCCCCTTGACTGGAAAAGCCAGGCAAGCTGCCAATGATATGTTGCTCTTGCTGTTTGAACTGAGCGAGCAGTGAGCAGGGTGGCAACTGATAACAGCAAACAGTTTTAACAAACTCAAGGATGAGAAGCGGAGAAGCAAAGGTTGACCTTATCAGTCCCTTCTCATCTGCAGTCTGGGTAATGGCCTGGGTCCCCTCCCAATATACTTGCCCTTGCTTAGGAAGTGTGGCCAGAGCAGAGGTGAGGGTGAATGGTAGAAGAAGGAGTGACTGAAAGCAGGGCAGAGCTGAGGCACATACATTCTGCAAAGACACTGTCATGCCTGGCTAGCCTTCAAGAAGGCCAAAGCCAGTTCATGGGCAGCATGTTCTGTACAATATTCTGGGTTGCTCACTCCAGGGAAGGGGCAGCATAGCATCCTTGTGATGTATTTCCTTTTCTTTCCATAGTCTGCTGCGTTACCCCACTCCACCAATTGGCAGAGGATTGAAATGTTATTCAGAGTTTGGGCTGGTCACTTGGGATTGCTGAATGACCATTGTCCATAACACACTAAGTCTGCTTGGGGCATGGAGCTCCCTGCTGAAGAATGGTGTGGTCTCCCTCCTTTCACTGGTCCCATCCCCAAGTGGATCATAATTGTGCTTGAGAAGAAAATGGATGGGATATAGGACACACAGCTTGATGGCTCTGACACAGTAGTGGGTACAGATGACCCTGGCTATCCATATGGTTTTGTTGCTAACTCCAGGCACAGAATTAGCTAGGGTTTTTCTTTTGATTTTCCTCTTCTTTCCACCTAGTGGAGCCATGATTTCTGGTCTCTGATGTATAGGGAACAGAGGACACTGGCCCAGGGCCCTTGAGACAGGTCTGTCTAACCTGGGGTCAGAGGCAGCTACCACACAGGGGCCGCTTTCACTGAGTGGTCCTTCCTCCTGATATCCCCCAAAGTGTTATAAAAACTCTAAAAGTTAAGGGGAAAGGTAAAGAGCAGCTCTGCTAGGCCCGTAGGGGCCCATTAGTCAGATTCTGAAGCTGGAAGTTCCTTCTATGTCTGAGAAGTATAGTGTTCAGGAACCAGACACCAGGTCCCATTTCCAAGAGAGGAAAACATTCCAAATACCAAAGTCACCAATAGATGTTTCATGAGCAGAATTCAGTTCAAAAGCTAAAGGCTAGTGGCTCAGGATGGCTCAGTGGATAAAGTACATACTGAACAAGAATGAGGGCGAGAACTTGGGTACTGAGAGTGAGAGTCCATGTGGGCTGGGGGGGGACGGGGGGGGGGGGCACACAGGGGGGGGGTTCTGTCAAGTGTTAGTCCTACCAGAGACATGAATCCCAAGGCACTGCCCCTGCCTTCTTTCCCTGTTCAGTAAGGAGGAGCTCCAAGGACCCCTTGGTGCAGCCAATGATTACTTTCAAGATTTGGTTTCTACTGTATCAAGTTCTTACCAGGCAAGCATTGTTGGATTCCATATTTGTGCTACTGGCACATTCTGTTTTCCGTTCTTTAGGTACAGGACACAGGTCAAGGTCTTTCACAGAGATTCTCCTCAGGATACTCATTGTCATGTGATTTCCTGTCTGGACCATGCAACAGAGAGCCCAAGAATTACTAACAAGAAGGCAGTCCTGGTCAAACCGACAGCAACTCACATTCCAAACAGGAATAAACAGAAGATGTTCCTACACAACCCTTTTACCCACAGAAATCAGAACTGGTGTCTGAGTTTTTACTGAAAACTATCTTTGCTTTGAATTTAAAGCTGTAACTTTGTGGCGGTGGTGGCTCACACTTTTGATCTCAGCACTCAGGAGGCAGAGGCAGGCAGATAGACCTCTGTGAATTTGAGGGCAGCCTGGTCTACAGAGTGAGTTTCAAGACAGTCAAGGCTACACAGAGAAACACTGTGTCAAAACAAAACAAAAATCTGTAAACAGGCAGAGAGCAAGTCACCCTTCCTTCATACTTAAAGAGTATGCATTTTCTTGTTTCATTCTTATCCAAGAATGATGGAAATGGGTGGCTTAGGTAAGAGGACACCCAGCCCTTGTCCCCTTACTCCTCCCAGCACTTGGTGAGGCAGTCTGTGGACTCTACACTTTTTGGGTATAGTGCTAAAAAGTGGGTATAGTGCTAAAAAGAAAAAAAGACCTGTGGAATATAGCACAAGGAAAGCCCAGAAAGGTAAACCCTTGGAATCAACTCTAAAACCTCAAGCATCCTGAATGATTAAGACAGACAGGCCCTAGGGAAGTTCCTCTGAGTCACCCCCCACCACCAGCACACACACAGCCTCCTCTAGGAGAAGGAATGCATTAACTGCAGACGTGGGATTCCATCCTGCCACCCAGCAGTTCTTCAAGGCTGGTGATATAGGTAGCTTTCTGTCCAGGAAGCAGATGGCCTGGACCATGTTGTCGAAATGTATGGCAGATTCTGTCCTCACGAGGGCTATATTGTTGCTCATGGATTTGTTATTGAAGTTTTCATGGAGGATGATGGTATTGACTGGGTACTCTGTGTGATCAATCTTTCTGGGATCCATGTTTGCTATACCGACAACAGCAATGACCTTCTTCCTAGAAAGAAAGACAACAAGAGGATTTTGAGAAGTCAAGGCTAGGAAGCCTTACACTTTCCTCATTTCTCATTTTTTTATGGTTTTATTTTCAATATGGCATGCTCATCCAACCCAACCCCCCGGGTATTTTATCTTCATTTTATGTGAGTGTGTGTGTGTGTGTGTGTGTGTGTGTGTGCATGCCACATGTACCCGCCAAGGGCAGAACATATTGGATTCCTTGGAGTTGGAGTTAATAATGGTTGTGAGCTACTTGATATTGGTGCTGGGAACTAAACTTAGGGTCTCTGGAAAAGCAAAAGGGCTCTAACTGCTGAGTCATCTTTCCAGCCCCTACCCCCCACTTCGTTAGTTTTTATTCATACCTTTGAACTCAGTCTCCAGGGATCTCCTGAATTTCTAGGTTTGTTCTCTCCCTTGGGAGCCCAAGGTCACCTAGGGGATTCTTCTGTCCTGATACTATTTATCCTACCATGCAAAGATCATCTGTTCACATGTTATTGGGTAACTTCTATATGACTATTTTTAATGTAGAAAAAAATACAAAATATGTAATCATGACTCTCATTCATCATCTCAGCACTTAACATCTTGTTTTGTTTTTTGTTTTTCAAGACAGGGTTGCTCTGTGTAACAGTTCTGGCTGTCCTGAAACTCACTTTGTAAACCTGGTTGGTCTCAAACTCACAAAGATCCCCCTGCCTCTGCTTCCAGAGTGCTGGGATTAAAGGTGGGAAACACTGCTGCTTGGCCCTTTAATATCTTAATGCAGCATCTGCCTCACTTACTCTGTGAGTGCACTTAGGGAGGATATGGCTTACCAGTGGTGGGGTTAAGCTGGGTATTCTCTACTTCTCCCCTTGGGACTCACCCAAGAAACTATAAGAATGTAAAGCAAACACATACACCATGAAACCATAAAGAGGACTCAACACTCAACATCTGAACAAGGGCTGGCAAAACCCTTGTTTTGTGACACCTGCTGCCACTGAGCTCTTGAGCAGCTGGGTGAGAAGTTTCTCAGCAAACAAGATAGATAAGAAATAAAGCAAGTCAAGGGCTGGAGAGATGGCTCAGTAGTTAAGAGCACTGACTGCTCTTCCAGAGGACCCAGGTTTGATTCCCAGCACCCACAGCTAACAACTGTCTGTAACCCCAAGATCTAATACTCTCATACAGACATACATGCAGGCAAAACACCAATGCACATAAAATAAGAATAAATTATTTTTTTTTAAAAAAAAGAAGCCAGGTGGTGGTGGTGGTGCATGCCTTTAATCCCAGCACTGGGAAGGCAAAAGAAGGCAAATCTCTGTGAGTTTGAGGCTAGCCTGGCCTACAGAGCAAGTTCCAGGACACGCATCAAAGCTACAGAGAAACCATCCCTCTTGAAAAATAAAAAAAAAAAAAGAAAGAAAGAAAAGAAAGAAAGTCATCTTCTAGCACTGAGGTGAATGTCAAGTTAGAAGCAGCATGAGGAGAATGAAAACGATGAAAGACTTAGAAAGCAGGCCAAAAACAGTGACCAACAAGACAGAAATCAGCCAAGTTTATCTTCCTTCCTTCCTTCCTCCCTTCCTTCTTTCCTTTCTTTCGATTTATTTATTATGTATACAGTGTTCTACCTGCATGTTTGTCTGCACACCAGAAGAGGGCACCAAATCTCATTATAGATGGTTGTGAGTCACCATGTGGTTGCTGGGAATTGAACTCAGGACCTCTGGAGGAGCAGCCATCTTTCCAGTCCCAGCCAAGAAGAATAAAGACTTACTATCTTACTATCCCCTCCAGTCTGTTGTCAGTGCTTGCATTGATGAAACCCAACTGCAGCTAGGATGCACGGGGAAAAGGCATCACCCACACCGGAGGGGAGAGAGCAGAGTGGATCATGAGTGACAGGGGAGGATCTGGCATAACTGGATGTCCAGTCCAATGAAGATGAAATCATTCTATTTGAGCAAACACTTTATTGTCTAACCCATGAAACTCATGGAAGTGAAATGAGAGTCATGGCAGGAGCTGGGATGGAAGGGCTAAGCCAGGCATCTCCTGGGAAGATAAGTATTTGTAGCCATCCTGAATCACCTCAGACTTCTACACAGACACAAGCCAGGGGCATAGCGATGCCTAGAAAGTCCTCCCTGGAGAAGAAGTGTGAGCCATAAATAGGACATGAGAGGGTTTTCTACAACAAGATGTTATAGAACGAATCATGATCCCCCCAAATGGGACCATATTTGGTAGCAAAGCCTTTATTTTACATCTGGAGATAGAGGTACCTAAGGTCTAATCTAATAGAACCAGAGTCCCCTGCCCCTTTTTTCTTTTCATGTATATATGTGGTATGTCTGTGTGTGTGTGTGTTTGTGTGTGTCTGTGTGACTGAGGTTGATGTCAGGAATCTTCCAGTCTGTCTTCTGTCTTATTCTTACACAGAGGGAAATAGCCATGTAAAGACACACCTAGAAGACTTCTGCCTGTAAGTCCAGAAAGAAACAAACCTGCTGACATTCTAACCTTGGACTTTCTGGGCTAAACCACCCAGTTTACGATATTTTGTTATGGAAATCTAAGCTGACTAGGGGAGAGAGAATTTTGTGTTAATAGACATAAGAATAAATATAGAAAAATATAGATATCCATGAACATATTAGGTGTTTAAAAAAAATCCATCCACTACAGTCCTCTGCTCTGCCAACTGAGCTATTGAAGGGGCTGTCCACTCTCTCCATACCTCTTCAATATTGTCCTTGAAGTTCTAGATAGAGCAATAAGACAACAAAAGGAGATCGAGGGGATACAAATTGGAAAGGAAAAAGTAAAACTTTCACTATTTGCAGATGATATGATAGTCTACGTAAGTGGCCCAAAAAACTCTACCAGGGAACTCCTACAGTTGATAAACACCTTCAGCAAAGTGGCAGGAGACAAGATTAACTCAAAAAAATCAGTAGCCCTACTATATACAGACGATAAACGTGCTGAGAAAGAAATCAGAAAAACATCACCCTTTACAATTGCCACAAACAATATAAAATACCTTGGGGGTAATGCTAACCAAGAAAGTGAAAGACCTGTATCGTAAGAATTTTGAGTCTTTAAAGAAAGAAATGAAAGAAGATACCAGAAAATGGAAGGATCTCCCATGCTCTTGGATAGGTAGGATCAACATAGTAAAAATGACAATCTTGCCAAAAGCAATCTACAGGTTCAATGCAATCCCCATCAAAATCCCAGCATAATACTTCACAGACCTTGAAAGAAAAATTCTCAACTTTATATGACAAAACAAAAGACTCAGGATAGTCAAAACAAGCATGTATAATAAAAGAACTTCCGGAGGCATCACCATCCCTGACTTCAAGCTCTATTATAGAGCTATAGTCCTGAAAACAGCTTGGTATTGGCACAAAAATAGGTAGGTAGACCAATGGAATTGAATTGAAAACCCTAATATTAACCCACAAACCTATGAACACCTGATTTTTGTCAAAGAAGCTAAAATTTTACAATGGAAAAAAGAAAGCATCTTCAACAAATGGTGCTGGTATAACTGGATGCTGGTGTGTAGAAGACTACAGATAGATCCATATCTATCATCATGCACAAAACTTAAGTCCAAATGGATCAAAGACCTCAACATAAATCCTGCCACACTGAACCTCTTTGAAGAGAAGGTAGGTGTTACCCTGGAACAAATTGGTACAGGAGACCACTTCCTGAACATAACACCAGTAGAACAAACACTGAGATTGACAATTAACAAATGGGACCTTCTAAAACTGAGAAGCTTCTGTAACACAAAAGACACAGTAAGACAAAACGGCAGCCCACAGACTGGGAAAAGATATTCACCAACCCCTAACATCTTACATCTGTCAAAATGGCTAAAATCAAAAACAACAATGACAGTTTATGCTGGAGAGGATGTGGAGAAAGGGGAACACTCCTCCACTGCTGGTGGGAGTGCCAATTCGTACAGCCACTTTGGAAATCAGTATGGCAGTTCCTCAGAAAAATGGGAATGAGTCTACCACAAGATCCAGCAATTCCATTCTTAGGCATATACCCAAAAGATGCACATTCATACAAGGACTTCTGCTCATCCGTGTTCATAGCAGCATTATCTGTAATAGCCAGAAACTGGAAACAACCTAGATGCCCCTCAATTGAGGAATGGATGGAGAAAATGTGGTGTATTTACACAATGGAGTACTTCTCAGCAGGGAAAAAAAAAAAATTCGCAGGCAAATGGATGGAAACCATCCTGAGTGAGGTAACCCAGTCACAAAAAGAGAAAAATAGTATGTATTCACTCATATATGGATTTTAGACATAGATTAAAGGATTACCAGCCTACAATCCACACTGCCAGAGAAGCTAGGAAAGGAGGAGGACCCTAAGAGAGACACACATGGTCCCAGGAGAAGGGGAAAGGGACAAGATCTCCTAAGCTAATGGGGATCATGGGGAGAGGGAGTTAAAAGAAAGGGAAGGGGAGAAGGAGAGGGGAGAAGAGGACAGGAGGGAGCAGAAAGATCTAGTCAGGGGAGGAATGGAGGAGAGCAAGAAAATAGATGCCATCATAGAGAGAGCCATTATAGGTTTAAAGATAATTCTGGCACTAGGGAAATGTCCAGGGATCTACAAGGTCGACCCCAACTAACAATCTCAGTAATAGTCTAGAGGCTACATTAAATGCCCTTCTCTGATAATGATATTGATGACTACCTTATATGCCATGCTAGTGCCTTCATCCAGTAGCTGATGGAAGCAGACACAGCTTAACAATGAGCTGAATTTTAGAATCCAGTTGTAGAGAGGAAGGAGTGATGAGCAAAGGGGTCAAGACCAGGCTGGAGAAACCCACAAAAACAGCTGACCTGAACAAGGGGTTGTTCATTGACCCCAGACTGATAGCTGGGAAACCAGCAGAGGACTGTTCCAGACCCCCTGAAGGAGGAAGTCAGTTTGGAAGTCTGGACAATCTATGGGGCCACTGGTAGTGGATCAGTATTTACTCCTAGTACACAAATGAACTTTAGGAGCCCTCTCCACATAGAGGGATACTCTCTCAGCCTACACACACTGGGGAGGGTCTAGGCCCTGCTCCAAATGATATGAAAGACTTTGAAGATTTCCATGGAAGGCCTCACCCTCCCTGAGGAGCAGAAAGGGGTTGGGATAGGAGGTCGGTGGGGGGATAGGGGAGGAAGGGAGGGAGAGGGAACTGAGATTGACATGTAAAAGAAGCTTGTTTCTAATTTTAATAAAAACAAAAAACATCCAAGAAAGTGATGACAGGACATGGCACAAGGGAAAGAAACTAGTGACCAAGGGAGTGAGTTCACTGCATATCTTTGCTTCTTTGTGGATATTCAACTATATACATGGATTTCCACTTAAAAATATAAATTCTGGCTCTTCTGGAGACAGTGCTGAGACACACTCGGAATGACCCATGTTTGACACACCATTGTAGGTTTTCCTACAATACAGTCTCATAAAACTAGGCTGTCTTGAACCCCTAGCCATAGGGTTGTTTACTTTTATATTAAGAAGGTTGGGGAAGCACCAAAATCTGCATGTGGCATGTGCCAAGTCAGACTTTGGGGGGTTGTGTTGTGAGAGCTGAAGTCCCTATGAAATTATCTAAGACAGAGAAGCAGGGCCTACGGTGGTTCCATGTGTACTGAGTGTGTCGTGGAAGATCAGGCATGCTCCCTTATTGAGCAGCAGAACATTGTTGTGAAAGTGTTGAAGGCATAAGCACAGAGTCAGAAAGTGAAATAAGTATGGAATGTTTTTAAATAATAAAAGTCAAGGCTCTGTATTACACACACACACACACACACACACACACACACACACACACACACACACCAGTGTGAGGATCAAGGGTGGACCATGAACAACAGAGGGTAATGAGAGCAGATTAGGCAAAATACAATGACACATATATGTTTGAAAACACCATCACAAAGTAGACATCTATGGTACCAAGTAAACCTCCAGCATCAGGAATGGATTACATCTTATTGAGTCGCTGGCCAAAGGTGTCCCATGGAATGCCCCTGACATCACAGACTATTGCCAAGGCTGTTGGTTACTCTCCACAACTTGAGGGTAAGACCCTGTTGCTGAAGACATCAGTTATGCCATTAAACACAGAGAAGTTGATCTGGTGCCTAATAGAAGCTTCACTCCTACTTACTTGTGTTCATGGTACTGGAAGGTCTCTGCACACTACCAAAGGAAAAGGGTAGCTATCAATATCATCTGGCTATAAAGCCTGACCTATAGCAGCAACCTGCCTGCAAAATATACTGGTGCAATAGTGGCACAAATATTATGGGAGTAACCAACAACTTTGGGGAGCTGGATTTAAGGCCCACTCCATGAGATAGAAGTCATACCTGATACAAAGTCATCAAGAACCTGAGACTAGATAGGTCATGGGCATAGAGAGAAACCTAATATGATTGTTCTGCTAAAGGAACACAGCAATAAAATGACTCCTGCTGACATACTCACAGATCAGTGCCTTGATCAACACACATCAGAGCTTTTTTTGCAGTACGTGGAAATTAAGACAGAAACCCACAACTGGACAATGTACAAAGAATAAGAGACTTAGGAATACTCAGTCCTAAATGTGACATATTCATTAAACCTCTCCTCACAAGGCTCAGGGATCTATGAAGAAGAGGAGGCAGAAAGATTTTTAAGAGCCAGAGGTAATGGATGACTCCACTATTGTATCTTCCAGATACAACAGGACTGAAGTTCATATGAAGTCACAGAGACTGTGCCAGTAAAACACAAGACTTTCACAGGTTCCAACCTATGGGATCCCAGCACTGAGAGGAGGAAGTGTACACACAAAGTCCAAGGTTAGAATGTCAGCAAGCTTATTTCCTTCTGGACTTACAGGTAGCAGCCCTAACCAAGAAACTATTTGTAATTGATTCCTGCCAGCAAAGGGAAAAATCAGTATATCAACCACATTCCAGGGAAGGCCCCATGCCCAGGAGTAGCTGGCCAACACAAAACCAACTCAGTGATATTTTTGTGGACTTTTGGTTTCATTTTGTTTTGTTTGGCATCTTTTTATCTTATTGATCTTTTGCTTGTTTGTTTTGAGTTTTGTTTTTGAAAGAGAGAAAGAACAAAGTTGAGTAGATAGAGAGGTGGAGAGGATTTTGAGGAGGGGAGAAACATTGTTAAAATATATTATGAAAAATAATTTTAATAATAAAATAAATAAAAAGAAAATGCCATATGAAGCCTATTATTTTCTATGCATACCAAAAGAACAATAAATTTAAAAACACATAAATGAAGTATTAAAATTCAGCAGTCATAGAATATTCGATTTCATGTTTACATTATAATTTCTTTGGCTAATTAAATTGATTATTCTTTCAGGCATGGGAGATGGCTCAGTGGATAAAGCACTCACTATGCAGGCATGAAGACCAGAGTTTGGATCCCTACCACTCACATGAAAGCTAAGTGGCCTGCCTGTAATTCTAGCACTCAGAAGGCAGAGATAGCCAGCTCTGGGCAAAACCCAGGCAAAATCCAGGCAAATCAGTGAGAGACCCTGCTTCAGTAAAGTGGAAAGCAATGAGGAAGATACCCGATCTCTCTCTCTCTCTCTCTCTCTCTCTCTCTCTCTCTCTCTC